AAGACCAGTTTCATTGAGCTTAATAGGAGATACAGGTTCTTAAAAGGCAAGAAGGAAACCACAAGCATTTGATTCATCATTCATGTAGAGAGGTTGTGATCTCCTATATGGAATTCTAACTTTAAGTTTCTGATAAAAACCCAACTCAACAACATGGCCTTTACACTTGGTCTTTAAACTGTCAAGCTATGATACATAATACTTTAATTTCGCCATGCACTTCATAGCTACCAGCATAATAGATTCAAAAAATTAATGGCATCCGTTACCTGGAGATGCATACTAATGGTAAGCATTTTCACATATACAGGTTATCTATATATCAGAAATATGTGCAGTAGTCTCTCTTAACTACTCCAAAATTTGAGACGGAAATTGGGAGATGACCTTCACTTGAATGAAGAAATCTAAAATTCGATCTATAATAGAAACACTAAAAATCAATGTGATATGCAAGTTTTCTGCCCCATGTGTGGATTATGATGCCCTTCCTAGAATACGTGGATGCCCCTTTATAGTCTTTGTGGGCTTATATCCAACTTGGGATCTAGGATGACCTTTGGTAGGTCCTGTCACTAGTTGCAGGATCCTGTGTTCCTTCTCCAAAAACATGCAAAACAGTCTTCAGTTTGCTAATACAAATCATTTTGGACAGGTAAAGTGTAAAAAATACATAAGACAGTAAAACAGCACATGCAGGTACTTTAAATATATATTGAATGGACCTCTTGCTGCATATAATATTGCTAGCTCCGGGAAGCGAATGTCATGGCAAATACCTATACCAATGCGCCCTACATCTGCAACCAAAATAATAAGACAGCATAAGTTGAAGAAAAGAATCTATGGTGTAGCAAAATGAAAAAACAAGTACCCACTGTAGAAAAATTACAAGAAAACAATAATACAGCAGGCTTTAAACAAGCTCTTTACATGCTAAATCAACAGAATTTCGAACTCCGATACTACAGATAGCTACCTGAGTAGCTGATAGCAATAGGTACAAAAAACCAATGTTCGCCGTACCATACCGTACCGGTGTTTCGACCCGCGCTCGGTACGGTACGGTACGGGTGTACCGGCCGGTATACCGAGGTGTACCGAGCGGTACACCAGGGTGTGCCGGTCACTGTAGCAGTGCTACAGTATTGCTACAGTACCGGAACGGTAAGAGGCGGTCCGCGTACCGAAAGTCTGTCGGACCGGTACGTACCGCCCGTACCGGGCGGTACTGTTCGGTACGGCAAACCATGCAAAAAACAATCACCACACATCATACAGCATTGAGTAGTTAATACAGATAGAATGACCATTGTTTTAACTTTTAACTGATTCCAATAGATTTCTTCAATTATAGGCATTCATATACAGATTGGAACATGTATCAGTTTGGAAATATATGTTTTGCGTGCAAAAAAAACTTAAGTTTAAAGAGCAAATACTCACATTTGACATTGTTGCACAGTTAAAATTTTTGAATTTGTAAATGAACTGCAAAAGCTTCAGACCGCAACTCATAAAATTCAAGAATAAAAAATATTCATTTTACATATTATATAATTGAAGAATCTAGTAGAATTGAATCAAGATGAAGTTTGTAGAAGCATTTTCAGATAAGTATATATTAGAAAACGAGACATGCAATTCAAAAAGCACATCATATGATTAGCAAGAAAACATTAAGTTGATTTGACCATAAAAAGCGAACTGATTGTGCATAAACAGCATGCATCTAAAATGATAAATATATGTTATAGAACGCTAGACCTGTGTCCACTATAGTAGCATGTTCCCCAGCTGTAAGTGTGTTTGATTCCTTGAATGTAATCTCTCCAGGAATATCGATGTCAAAAAGATGTATCTGCTTCATCGAATATTTTACATTAGATATTGATTAATTTATATCATGAAGAGACCTTCAAAAGCAACAAAATACAATCAAAGGTTATTCCATCTAATTAAGCATATACAATGGAATTAAGTTAACCATTTTCACAGAACTGATATCAAACGACATAAAAGTGAAACTACAACACATAAGTCCACCTGGCAAGAACTGAAATGGAAGCAAGATAAATAAATTTGAGACCCTATTAAGTTTCTTACTGAATTAAATGCTTTGTCAAGAGTGCCTTATGGTATGACTAACAAAGGTTCTTCCCATTTTAAGATTATAAGATATCCAGCGTTTTTATCGAAGTGTAGACTTACCAAAGGCAAGTTGCAATAATTTGTTTTCTGTACCTTTCTGTGTTTACCCAGGAGCTTTCCATCTGTGCCAAAGACACAGCATGTATTGTACAGACGATCACCAGAACGTTCTGGAATCGATCCACCAATAATAGTAATCTGCAGGCTGCGAGCAGCTTCAGACAGCATCGAAAATGATGGAGCTGCATCACCAACACCTTCGATATCCTCGGCATAAACTGGAAAGTTATCATTTGAAAACGGACTATTCCATATTTCCTAACAAAAATTACAGCGTTCAGGCAATAGGAAGGGCATACAATACTGTTGACCAAGAATTAGACAAACATCAACTATCATTCTCCGCAAGATCGCCAACCTAATTATTGAACTGGTTTGACGGAACCTACCGGCAAAAGAACAAGTTGCGCCCCCCTACCAGCGGCCTCCTCGATGGCTTTGCGAGCACGAGCGATGTTCCTCTCCTTTTCCGGCGTCACAGACAACTGGCATAGAGCGATCTTAAACTGCAATAATTGGTCAACAAGCTGAGCGCTCCGGCTAGAGCAGAGAACGGGAGACGGCAGCAGAGAAAGATCGCACCTTCGAGACAGGCGGAACAGGGAGCGGGAGGGGGGCAGGAACCGTGGCCTCATCGGGCTGGAAGGCGGAGCCTACGGCAACAGCAGTAGTCAGTCGGAGACAAGGCGGTGGCGTGGTCGCCGGAATACGCCGATTGATAGTGCCACGGGAAAGGCGGAGGAGGGGTTGACCGGCGGTGAGCAGGGGGGCGGAGGATGGCCGGATGGTCAACGCACCTCTCATGGCTCGAGTCAGTGGGATGGACAGTTTCGGTTCGACGCCCGAAGACGACGGCCGGTAAGATTACCGTCGGAGGATTTTTAGGTTCAGAGACGGCCAAATAAAAGCAAATGGCATTATTTTCCCCTGCGACTGTCGCAAGATCCTGCGAAAGGCATCTTTGGAAAAACAGTGTATTTACCTTACAAATTTTAATATAAGAACATATATCAGTCCAAATAATAAGATAATATGCATAAAAATAACGAAAAAAATATAAAATACTCCTAATCAAGGTCTGTCATATCGAAACGTATCGCCCATACCGGACGGTACGTACCGGTCCGATAGGTTATCGGTACGTGGACCGCCCGGTACCGTTACAGTGCTACAGTATTATACTGTAGCACTACTACACTACTACAGTATAAAATTGTTCGATACATTAGGATGTACCGCTCGGTACGCCCTGATGTACCGCTCGGTACGCCCTGATGTACCACTCGGTATGCCCTGATGTACCGTCCGGTACACCGGTACCATACCGTACCACGCTCGGGTCGAAACGTCGGTATAGTACGGTACAGCGAACCTTGCTCCTAATATTCTTATCATCATAGTAAATTTGATTGTACAACATCAGAGTTTCAAGTGACGATAAAACTATATGTAATGTGTGCAAGTGTGGAATTGGATGCCACCTAACAAAAATTGTCGTAAAATTCTAGTTTTGATTAATTGGTAGCATAATGATATTAAAATTCCAATTGATATTAATACTTCTATGGGAACTTTATATGATCCATTAATGATTAATATGTAAAAAGTTCACATATTATTTAAAAATAGAAAGAAGTTAATTGTGTTTTTGAACTTAAAAAAAATCCATTTTAATGAATCCCTCGTAATCATGCTGGATTCAAATTTTATGGGATTTAATCTTAGAAAACTTCATCTTCATAACCAATTAGTTGTCCTTTGTGTAGATTCCTCCATATTTCTAAGCCCCCTCTATTGTCAGAGATGCTGTTTTAAATAAATAAAATTAAAATTATATAACTCCTGATAACAAAAATCCATGATCGGACATAATATATTAAAAGATGATCCACACACACAGATTCTTCTCTTTATATATCATTCATATCCATGTTTGGATAAGATTAGATCAGAGAGAATCCAATAGTGACAATTAAAAATAAACTCCCTCAGCAATATCAAGCACATAAACCAATGTGTATGTTGCCAATGGCATCAATAGATCTTCCTACACAAAGAACAGGTGACAATCTTTTTAATTTTAACCTTTGTCTACTTCATAGTTTGGTTTGATTTCATCCCATTAAATGAGCTTACTATATATATATATATATATATATATATATATATATATATATAGAGAGAGAGAGAGAGAGAGAGAGAGAGAGAGAGAGAGAGAGAGAGAGAGAGAGGCACTGTGGGTGACCCAAAAGAGGAGTTCAGGTCATCCAAGCTGACCCCAAAGAAAGCGGAAAGGAATTGGACTTATCCTATGGAGTTATTGAAAAGGCCAACACCAAACTGGTGGATTATAGATTCATTGCAGAAGATGAATATGAGAGAGAAGGAATAATGTTTATTTCTCTGCATAATATATATATATATATATATATATATATATATATATATATATATATATATATAAGAAACTAAAGTTTTTTTTATTAGTCGTAAACTAATAAAAAAATTATAATTATCATCTGATTGATTGTAATACATTTTGATTGCCTAAGATTTTGGAGTTGATATAGCTATTCTGATTTATTGAGAAGTAGTTGGAGCAGCTTCCAATTAATGAATTTGGTTCCTTTGGATATTGTGGAATTTTGTTCCACATACATATCTACTGGAATGTGCTTGCAAATGATCAAACAAGAGGAGCAGATGGACAGGTAAAATCAAATCTGATGTTCAATCTACAGGTTTAAACTTTTAGATAGAATATCATTAATAAAGAATTTAAGATCCACTGATGCAATCAATATCATGCTTAAGCAACAGTACAAGACATTAAAACCCATCACTAGACTCACACACCCAAGCTTGCTCCTAAAACCAAAACACCAGGAGCTCATCCATGGGCAGCATTCTGAGTGATGAATCCATCTCCAAGCCACTGTTTTGGCACTGCAATAGACAAACTTGCCCATAGATTTCAAAAGGAATTGGCTGGCCCACAACCAAGGGCCCTACACCACACCAAACCCAATCCAAAAAATGAAAGGACAAGACCTTGAGGTCCCACATGAGTACCCACATTATCTCTGGTCTCCTGGTCATTATGATTCCCTGGTTGCTCCACTCTTTAGATCATTATGTTTCCTCTTGTCATCAAGTCCCATAATTACCACTATGTTTCAGTGCTGTGACTAGTAAAGCTTCTATCCTTGGCTACCATTAATAAGCACTGATTCATAGGTGGGTTTGCAGAGTGGGAGATCTCAAGCCAATCAGTGACTGACACCCACATTACTTCACCGACACTTCAATCAAATTCAGAATGTGCCGATGCCAATCTGGGAAAGATGGAGTATCAGAGACTGTAGCCCAGAAGTGTATAGTGTTAGTAGTATGGAAGAAGCTTAAGGACACTTCCCACCTGAAAAGGCCCACCACATAAACAGCACTTGCAGCAAACTCTTACAGAGAGACTGCATGTCACTTGGGTCTCCATGTCCATTCTATCATGGCACTCTTGACTCTATGACCAATTCCAAGAATTACTCTCCATCAATCCACTTGCCACTTCAAAACTATAATCTCACCATCTCAGAGAAACTTTTTAACAGCAACCTCCACTTCCTAGTCCTGTGTCCAGAGCAAAAGTTACATTCTTTTAACAACAAGAAAAAAACAATGTTACTCATGTTTATTAAAATCCTTGCTTGGTGATAATGGGACCAATTCCAAGAATTACTCTCCATCAGTCCACTTGTCACTAAAAAACTGAAATCTCATCCTCCAAGAGCACTCTTACACCAACTTCCACCTCCCAATCCTGTTTGCTTAGCAAAAAATCCATCTTTTCAGACAAGAAGAAGCAAACTATGTTACTCCTGTTCATAGAAATCCTTGTTTGTGTGATAATGGATAGGAAGATAAATGTAGACAACAAAACAATACAAGAGAAGAATGCAAGAAGCAAGATTGTCATTTTATTTCATACAAAATTCATATCCATACTTGGATTATATTGGATCAGGAGATGATTCAGCAGTGGCACCTAATTCAACTCCTTCCCTTCCTATCAGAAAAACTAAATTCAGCTAGCAATGACTAATTTATGTATGTACAACAAAAGCAGAAGGGAAAGATCTCATTTTTATGGCTTTCTTTTATCAGTTCGGAGTACCTGGAAAAGAGCCGTCTTTGGCTGAAAGCCTCTTCAAGAACTCGTAGGTGGTGATCATGGTGGTGGCGGACAGTGATGTTGAAGCCCACCTTGGCCCCAGCCCTCGGTAGCACGCCCGCCAACCCCCTTCCTTTATGAGGCTCCTCACTGTTCTGCCGATCGTCATCCGATCGCCGCCGTCGTCCAACACCTGCATCCTCGTCTTGATCGTGTCCAGCGGCATCGTCACGACCGCCGACGTTCCCCCCGCCACCGCCGCGCTCACGCCCTGCACCGCCACCACTGTCCCGTGTCCCGGCTTTAATTCACCGCCGCCGCCCATGTGGTAGCCGATGCAGCCCCAGATTAGCCTCTGAGAGAGGGAGTAGGACGCCCACCACACTGCATTGGATGGCGCATAGGTGAGGATCGACATCCCGAACCCTCGGTAGAGGCCGCGGATGCCGTCGGAGTAGAGGATCTTCTTGAAGGCGTCGACCCCACCGCGGTACTTGGCAGCGGCTGCGGCGGAACCCTGCACCATGAGGCGTTGGCTGACCACGTCGATGGGGGTCCAGACGACCTGTGCGGCGACAGCCGCGCTGAGCCCGGCGGCGGCGGAGGCGGCAACCGAGGCGGCGGTCTCGGGCACGCCGAGGCGGAGAGTGGCAGCACCGACGGCGCTCTTCGTGGCTTCGAGCGCACCCATGTAGAGGGCCCGCGCGGGGATGGTACCGGCGAGCGAGGTAGCAAAGCCGCGGTAGAACCCCCGGAGGCCCTCATGGCGGAGTATGTTCGCCGCGGCGCGGAGGCACGGCGACGGCGGCTGCGCGACCTGGAGCCGCGTCTTGAGGACCACCGCCGGGTACAGGGTGGCGGACACACCAGAGAAGAGGGCCGCGCCCATGACGAAAAACCGCCACTTGTCGAGCATCTCCCAGTCCACCTCCGCCGGCAAGTGGATCTCCGCCGCTGCCGCACCCGCTTCCTCCTCCGCTTCCGTCGCTGCCATAAAGCTCATCTTATACTCCCAATCCCTGGACCTCTCGTCCACCATCACAATTAACCCTGATTCCCTTTTTATGCACACCAATTCTGCCTCAAATCTAAATCTAAACACAGGAGAAGGTAGCCAAAGAAGACGAAGACAAGCAAAGTGACCGCGGTGTGCTCACTGGGTAATGACGGCGTCAAAGCCGCGAAGAACCGGATCCAACATCCACAGAAAGAAGAGGCGACAGTGGCGAAGAGCTCCCACGGAGAGTGTGGTAGAGGAGCACTGCAAGATTGAGAGCATAACGAGGTCTCTTTTGCATACTTATAGACCCTTCGAGGGACATGCGTCCTTAGATGTCTCGTGATGACCTGTCGTCGGAAGGAAGGTGGTCACCGCAGAGCAGCCGTCGTGGCGAGCCTTATCGCCGCCCGCTCTCCCGTCCTCACGTGGTCCGTACAACCTGTCACGGCATCTCCCGGTAAGCTCCTCGGCAGCTGTACGTTTCAACTACCCAGTCGCGTACCTGCGCTGTTGTTGGAATGATTGACCGGGGCCCACACGCACCACGCACGCACGTGAAGCGAAACTGTGGGAGTCGTCCGTTCTGTTCCTCTTTATTTCCCCATCACCTGATCGTTTACCAGTGGACAAACCCAGCTCACGGATTGGCCTTCGGTTGCTGCGTCGGCTGACTAGCACCGGAGGAAACCGAGGAGGGTAGGAATGGGGTGAAACTCCGGTCGGTTGAGAATATTTTGTTGGCGCCATTTTGCTTTAGGATTCGGTGGGCTCGCCCCCCGTCGAGGAAACGGTGGGTCGAGTTGATCAGATCGAATAGGAGCCGTTGGATTGGATGGTCCCAGAGACGAAGAGAAGCCCATAGAATGGTGGGGATTAAGGTCGGCCGAAATGCGTGGGGTTAACTCGAATGGATAAACCCTAATACGATTACGACAAAAAACACCCTGCAATAATGCAACCATGGGTTGCTGCAATGTATCATCTTTTTTAAGGCACATGGAATTCGATGCATTTATAAGGCTTGTGATGCGGATTGCATCACACAAGCTTTTGCTTCTGTTCATCACATCCATGTTTTCATTGAAATGAAATATCAAAGATTGTATTGCAAGATGAACAAGGAGACAGACAAGAAGAGAATATATTAATGCTTTTGATCTAAAATCTTCCAAAAAAACACTATGATCTTTCTCAGATAAGTAATTCTCTTCCCAAAGATTACGTATCTTCTAAGAAACCACTTGCTAACAATGTTCTAAATCCACATCTACCCACCTTCATTTCCATTCCTCTTAATCACCCTCACTTTCCTCCTAATCCATCCCAATGGTAGTGTCCGTTTGCAAATCTTGAAGCAGATTGACATCACTGGTTAACTTGGAAGCCAAGTAGGGAAGACTCAATTGACATGCACAAATCCTGGATTTTATTGACTCAACAAAAAAAAATTACTTCACTTGTTTGAGTTCCAATTATGCCACGCTTCAGCTCATACATGCCTATCTCAACCAAACACAACTGTGGGTACAACAAATAAGCTATTAGGGTATCATATCAACACCATCAGTTCTCAGGTGATGGATACTGTGAAAAAGCTTCACAACCAACATGGACAGAATTGGATAAATGCTTCACAAGAATGTAGATGAATTAGCATGTCGTGATGGTAATCATTGAAGGAAATAGATCAGTTACACAACTTACAAGATCAAAGTACAACTCGTAAGCCACAAGATAATCACAACTCTCAGTAACTCTAATACACTTCCAAAGCATTTCGGTAACGATCAAAAGCCACTGCAGTTTGTCTGATATGAAGCTTAAAGCAAGATCAAAATTTTATTAGTTGGAAGCAGTACATGTGAAAGGTTTCTACAGAAACCCCTGTCACTTCTGGTTTGAATCTCACTTTACTGTGAAAACATCACCTCCCAGAAGTACAGAAACCCGAAGAACAGTTTGGCGATTGTTTTTTTACATCTCCAAGCAGACAATCTAAACTTCATAGCAGTATGGGATACAAAAAATGCACAAACATAGTGTATCATGTATTAACAGAGACATATAATCTGATGATGTTAACAATGTCTCAAGTTCCAAGCCTGTTACTTCAACTTTTGCATCTCCCATCCATTTAGATCACATCCTAAATAACCCTTTCAGTCCTTGATATTCAGAACCAGAGTGGAAAAAAAAATTATCTAGAAAGATCTTTGTCGTCAATATTTTGAACATCTCAGAATAAAATATTATAAAAAATAATAACCAAGACAGTTCACAAGGATCTCATACATTTAAAATTGTCATACAAACTTTAAATGCATGTAAGCAGGCTTGATTACAGCCTAAAGATTAGAAGTTCATTCTGTTCATGTTTTGCACAGGTCAGTGATACATGTAAACCTTCAAATGGAAGAACCTGACCTCAGGACTCTCTCAAGCTTCTCAGCCTTTATATAATCCTTGTCTGTAAGTGGCCCAGCAGGAAAAGCAGTGATCTCAACAACAAGGTGTGGCGTGGGAAGCTCATCGAATAGAGCTCTTACATTATTGCAACATACGCTTTCTCCGTGGGCACTCTCCCTTCGTATCTGACAACCCTAGATGCCAAAAATGACCACCATTCAAAAACATATGGTAGGAGTAACCAGCACAAGAGGTTCATAAAATGATATGATGATACACCAAGTGGAATAAAACTATAAAAAAGATGATATTGATGGAAGTGATTTGTCTTGTGATCCTTTTCACAACGTTTATACAATTTGATAAATTCAAGATTCTAGGCATAGAGAAAAAGGACCAGAAGAAAGTAGAAGCTATTGCATGATCTGATTATGTTGTTTATTACCTTATGTGATGTAGCATCCACAAAATGGTCATCGTCAGAAAGTAAGGATGCAATGGATTTAAGAAGTCGACGGCCTTCAGCCTTTGAAGGTACCCTATAACTTCTCTTCAGTGTGCCCTTAGTTGTTGGGTGCCACTTACTAACCAACTTCCTTCGGTCAGTTGCCTTCTTATCATCTGTATAATGTTCACAAGAAGAAAATTCAATGGTCTATATACAAAATCAAGAACATAAGGTGTATTTCTTCATACACAATAAACAACAAAATGATTCATATACAATTTGCTTTGTTCTTCACTCTCATCCGCTACAAAACCTAATTAAGCAGTAACAATTTTACATTTTAGCACACTCATCATATTAGCTTCCGACCACATACATCCCATCTCCTATTAGTTCATCTTCCAGGCACTAGTAATTTCAAGAAGTCACATCTGCTGATATGATTTTTGTTTAACTCTGAATTTTTTTAATGCAAACAGAAGAAATATGCAGCAGCAGCATTGAAAACACGTCCATGGTGAAACCTAAAATGAAAACCAGAAGATAGTCTGGAGCAAGATCCCATTTAATGTGAACCAAACCTGAGAAATGCCTTCTCCAGATCCAGATCTTCAGGTATCCAAATTACATCTACAGAAAACCTTGGACATATTTGAACTGATTTTAACATCAATGACTGATACTATGAACATCCACATCGTGACCTTCCTATACAACTTTGGACTAGTCCCTTTTCCCTACCAAATAAATGGCTGATTATTCGATGCAATCAGGGCAACGTACAAGACTCCTGAATATTCTAAACTAATTCCTGCTTCATCTGAAGGCAGTACCACTTTCCATATTACATAAAACAATACCTGTACTATCATCTAGTATCAAAATCAATTGACAACACTCAGTTCCCTCGAGTCCAAACGATCTTATTTTTGGACATGAAGAAATAAAAAAACCGTTGCAATTGCTGAAAAGATTAGGATCATTAAGGGCACAAAAAAATATTAATGAGATTTGTCACTGTGGCTCGATTTAATATTTCTAATCTGTTATAAAAATGTATTCTTACTATGTATCTACCATGAAGTATAGGGAAAATCTAACGCTATGGTCTTCAACGATTCTTTCATGCATTATTTTCGATATTAAGGAAAAGTGATTTCGAGTTCAAGGGGTACTCTTTTTTTTTTTTCACGAGTTGCAAATGTACTCTTATAAATGTTTGGCAATATTATTTTCATATTTAGTATCAACCATACAGGATCCATGTAAATCAATTATCAAACCATCCTGCTATTTTCCAGGTTATATTTCAATTATACTAATAAGCACTTCAGCAAATGCCACAAAATTAAATGGGTAATGGTTCTTCTCGCTAAGAAATTCGATAAGACAGTCCGAGTAGTCCTCTATTTCAATCGTCATCCAAACCATATCCAAGCAATCTATCAGTAAAGTTGATATAGGACGATTTACAGTACAGTTACATGACCATCTGAGACAAAGTGGGAAAACAAGGAAAATATTTAAAAATGAACAAACCTGATCTACCCTGGAGCATCTCAATCCACTTAGAAAACCCCAAATCCTCACCATCACCTCTCAACCCTGCAATCGAAAGGAAGAAACAAAGAAATAAGTCTAATCACGGTTAATAGGGCATCCAAAGTGATTAAAAACCCTACCTGAAGGAACAAACGGGTTGGAATCGGACCCAGCAAGACCGGTCTTAAGGAGGGCATAGAAGATGCAAAGCCTACCAGCCCAGAGCACAGGAGCTTCGATCAAGGAGGAGGTCACTCTCGCAATCTTCCAACCGTGGGAGGGCCTCAGATGGGACCCTCTGAGGGAGAAGGGGATGGACACCAAGGAGGGAGGGAGGAACAGGGTCCTGGATGAGGAACCGAAGCACTTGCCATCGGAGTGGTTGTGTTGGAAGGAGGAGGGCGGTGTGAGATGGGAGTGACGAAGACACAGAAGCATATCCCCAACCAGAAAAGATGGATAGAATGGGGACCCGATGGACCAATGGATCCTCTTGTACTCTGTGTTTTTGGCTTTTAATTCTTGGAAAATAATTTAAGTTGGAACCCAAAATGTATCATCTAAATCAAACTTACAGCGGAGGAGACAGAAGCACAGCACCAATCACAAAGATGATGACTGGTTTAGAATCCAAAACATGGAGAGGTCAACAAATCCTCTTGTATTCCATGTTTTTTTTCTTTTTAATCTTTATAAAAATAATTAAGTTGGGACCCAAAATTGAGTCAGGAAACGATTATCTCAATCGGGCTCACGTTGATGACATGTGATGTTGTATGATTTTTCGGACTATTTACATATTATAGTTAGTTACCTTAATGCATCTTTATAGTTACGAAAGTAAAACATCTAGATTTATTTATCCTAATGATATCAGTTTTACCGACGAAGATAAAAAATAAAAGATAAAAATATAATTTTAATATTCGATGGTAGACGATATCGATAGTAACAGATAGTGGCATCGTTAGTGTCGAATGTCGATATAGTTGTCTGGCTACCTCCGATAATGATAAAGTTCGTTCTCATAACAACGCCACCCGCCTCCACGAGGAGCGTGTCACCGACCTCATCGTCGCTCGCCGTGCATAGCTCTATATTTGTGTCAACGTTGATGCAGTTGTCGAGTGGCAACTACATTAGCGTCTACGACGAAGATGGCGACCGCCTCATCACTGACCTGTTGGGTAGATCCCAACCTTGCCCCGAAGTTGGGGTCGTCGGAGCTCCCATCGCTCCCCTCATTAATGCATCAGTTTCAGCACCACCTCTCGCCGAGCTATCCTTTCATCATTTTGCATTTGTGTTGGTGGCATCACTTTGCATCTGCATTGGTGCCAATGTAGATGTTGAGCAACGCTCCTCTACATCTACATTGATGCTAATGTAGATTGCGAGCGGCCCTTTCGCCGCTTGGCAACTACGTCGACGTTAACGCATATGCAAAATAGCGAAAGGGTTGCTCATCGAGAAGTGGTGTCAGAATTGACACATTAACGAGCAGAGCGACAAGAGCTCCGGTAACCCCAGCTTTAGGTCAAGGCTACGATTTGCCCATTGGGTCAATGACAAGGAAACTACCATTTTCGCCATAGACATCATAGCGACCACCACCATCTGCATCAACGCCAACACAGTTGTCGCTTGACAACTACATTATCAACACAAATGTAGAGCAGCGCGGGACGAGTGATAATAAGGTCGGTGACACGCTCCTCATAGAGGCGGGTGGCATCGCGATGAGAGTGGACCTTATCATTGTCGAAGGCGGCTAGATAACTGCATCGGTGTCAACACCAATAACGTTGTCATTCGCCACCACCGATGTCGTCTGCCATCGAATATTAAGAATATCTTTTTATCTTTTGTTTTAATATTTTCGTTGATAAAACTGATATCGTTATGGTAAACAAACATAGATATTTTATTTTTATAATTATAGAGATGTCAATATAATTTTTTAAAATATATAGATTGAGATACTAAAAATAACTAATCGTAACTTAGCGACACTACTAATATATTTGTCATGTGGGGATATAGTGCATTCATAACTTAAGTTTGTCATGTGGGGATATAGTGGATTCATAACTTAAGTATAGATTAACCCTTTGCTTGGGTATAATACAACTTAGATAAAACCAAGCACGTAAATTGGATAGAATTGAAGAAATACAAGTGATACGAAAATAAGTCAAGTCAAGGAGGGAAAAAAAAGCGATTAGATTGTATGAGGAGATAAGTATAAACTAACAAAACACGTGAATTGAATAAAATTAAAGAAAAATAGATCATATAAATTAAATTAAAGAGAGGAAAGCACGTGAAAGGGACCAAAAAGGTCATATAAAGCGAGTAAAAGAAAGAAGTCAACTGCGGGCACGAAACATAAAAAGTAACGGCGTCGCCTGAGAGATTCGAACTCTCGCGGGGAAACCCCATGTACTTAGCAGGCACACGCCTTAACCACTCGGCCAAAGCGACATTGTTGTTTGGATGGCATCACACTATATATATGAGGCTTATGTATATTGCAATACAAATTTCAATGCAGAAGGAAACTATTTTCACTATATTGTAAACATTAAAAATATTCAAATAAGTCACTATCTTAAAAATATTTTTTCATGGACACCTCTTTAGATTGAGGCAGGATTTTGTAGTGAGAAGGCAAACGAACAGAAGCTAACTCCGCCTCCCATTGACATCCTCCGACCTTGAAATCTCCAAAGAGATTTCCTAATAATTGAAGCATAATTGATGTATAGTGAAGAGGTCAAAAGTTGAAGTTCTACTGATGGTATGTAATCCTTGAACGAAAAACATAGAATTAAGAACAAACATGACCCGAAATAATTAAAGAAAAACAAACCTTTGTATCTTTGTTCGGTTGACAAAGCCAAGTTACAGAAATCAATGCAACCGGCACATCAATTCAAACCATATGTTTAGCACAATACAGGAACAAACATGCTCCTCCATATATATTTTTCCCGTTAAGATCCATTCACAGAGCTCATATTAGTCATTTCTAACAATGGTTGATATTACATATTTCGAATTAAAAATACTTCAATCATAGAATATCCAATATACTCACCATATACTTACCATCTCTCTAAAGGTTGTATCAGTTAAAGTGTTTCAAGTAACAGCCAACTAATGGAGATGAATCACAAGGAGGGATATCAGATACTCTAAACAGAACTCAGTCATTTAAATTGAACTTCCAGTACAAAAAAGCAAATCCAGAGAAACAATAATTTCTATACGAAGTCAAAGTGTACGCATCCATGAAAGCGCAACAACAATCGCAACTTTGTTCATGAAGTCAGGAATAGTAATAGTTACAGATCATCCATATCGGCAACAATAAAAGAATTAACAGAAAGTTTAACAGGAGAATGGGCTTAACGTTGTATATTTTCCATTGCATTGATAGAAAATACAAGGTATCTTTATTCTTGACTATAGTTGTGACAGAACTAATATTCCTCCATGATGGTGGGTAATAAATTGATGAGGTAGTCTCACAAAAAAAAAAGACCAGGAATTTCAAGGTTATACCCCTCAGTGCTGACTTGTTCTTTTCTGCAACACATCACGCTAAACCAAGAAAAAAGAGCTTTGATAAAAGAACCGGACCACTTTATGCAGTATCCTCTTCAATTTATTTGCAAGTGAACGCCTTGCATCTTCTATTTGAGAAACCAAGGTCAGGAATTCTGAAAATATGGCACAACGAGCAAAGTCGCTTAGTCAAAAGCCAGTATATAGGCATCAGAACATTAAAAAACCAAATCGAATTTACCAAGAAGTATCCTCAACCAAAAATAGCTTATATTAGCTCTGAATGCACAGAGTACGGAACTGGCTGTTAAACCTAAACAAGTAACAAATTACATGTTAGGACATTTGTTAGTTGCAACATCACAGCTATAGCAACAACAGAGAAATTTACCATGGTCAAGATTTTCATGTGTTTCAAGGCCATATAAAGCATATTTAGCATATGCAAGAAGCCGAACATGTCTTGGTGCACCCAATTTTCCAAGAATGGACCTCAATAATCCACTGAAATGACAATGAGTGGGAAGCTTGAGATACCTCTACTCATAGTACCATGTGTAAAAGGTCAGAGAAAATGTTCCCTACTCTGTTCGAAGGATAGGAAAGAAGTCAGAAGGCAAACATTCCATGAATGCTGAGATATCATCCATCTTCAGCGAGCGTAGTTCTTGCTTCAAAAGTCTTCTCTCTTCATTAGACAATTGTGTTCCAAGAGCTGATTTGCTGATACCAAAGTGCAAAACCAAATGGAAAAAAGACAAGTTACGACACAAACCCAAAATAGCAAATGAAGAAATATAACCACTATCTCAAATTCATAAATCTGAATTCTTGTCGCATTGACAAAACAAAAGAAAAATAAAATCTTATTGTCTAAAAAATTCGAACTAAAACATACGGTTATTTATCATGACAAATAAAAACAGCTACTAATATTCTCTTATGAAATAAATTAAAAATGAACAGAAATAAGTTCTCTAACCTTCAGGAAATGCTATTTATACTGTAACCTAATTTCCTCAGAAACCCCAGTATCTTCTGAATGGGTGTCTCGCTATCTTTAGATCAAGTCAATTAAGAAAGTCAAGGAATGCATGAAGTCTGCAATTATGAATCATGGATTTTCAACCCTTTACCCTGCTGCAAAATCATTCTTCTTATAAAATAAAGACAGCATTAAATTGAAAAACTCGGCGATTCAGACTGTCATTGCATATTCACACTATTTTTGCACATAAGAGATTAATATCAAAACATATATAAGCCTATTTCTAACTACCAGTAAACATAATGGTCACTGGTTAAACTGGCACAGTTTGCTATTAAGGACCAGTATGTTGTGATATGCAGGACAGAAAAAAGAGTAAAGGAGAAACAAATGGGGAAAATCCTCTCCTCTATTGGTGATGGCCACCACTTTGAACTAAATCAAGATTCTCTAATAATAGCTTCATTCTTCAACTAGCAGACTATTCTACCCTTCGACTGGTCCAATACATCTGACAGAATTTAACGCCAGAACAAAGGTCCAACAATTTTCAATAAAATTCATTCAAATTTGATAAATTTCAACTACTCCAATAGTAACTGCATAACTATGCATGAAACTGGGTGGTCCACCTATGGATTTGGCTAGGACCATACCTTATCACTTGGTACAGGTGCAATCTCCTGAGACAATAATCCTTCACATTCCTATCACTTCCAAAAGTAATGGCAATGGTATGAAATAAGCGTATATGCTCATAAAGAGTACCTCAAGTGTCCATTTGGGAACATGGACAAATAGCAAAGAATATAAAACTCAAATACAAGAGCGAGCATATGATGACTGTTTGGTACACATGTATGAAACATAAAAGTCATTTAAATATCTAATATACATACTTACATAGTAATTTAAATCTCCCTATCTATACATAAACACCACCAAACAGAAACCCAAAAATGCACACTATATATTTGTGTTTTTTGAGCAAAATATGTTGACCATTATAACTTAAGCAATGAAAGGAATTTAGGTTCCTCCCTAATCACCTACAGAGAGAAGCAATAAAAAGAAAAAAAATTACAAATATTAACCACTTCACCGCAATATATGGCAATGTGGGAGATGCATGGACGGTGAATAAAAGTCTCTCTCATGATAATAAATACCTGAGGTCATCAACATAACTTGTTTCCTAAGGGTAGTAGTATCTAAATAAATCATCACTACCATCCACCGACCGAAATCTATCATCATTGTAGCATAAACCTAGAATAGAAATACTTCAATTCTTTTCAGCTACTTTCATGGGGTAAAAGAATGAATCTTATTTATCCATCACCTCAATATATTCAAGAAGCCACTACTTATCGAAGCATATGCAAAGCAACTCATTAGATATTAACATTAATTTGCTAAATCAGCTGATCCTGATAAAATCCACATCAAGATACCACTTGGCTAATTTCATGGTCTCCTCCAGAAGATCAACCAAGATTCAACCATAAATCAGCTTATCCAAAAGACAGAAGAGGGAGAGAAATAACAAGAAAAAGAGATGTCAATTTGGTGGAGTGTAGCTAGACCAGGATCACCCTTGGAAGGGGGACACCACCATAGCCCAATATTGCTATCCGGTGCAGCTAGAAAGGGAGAGAAAAGAGATAACTGGTCACATCTTGGCATGAGATATAACATCCATGAGCTCTAATTAGGCAGGTGCACCATTCTGTGTATTGAGATGTCATACATCAGAAAACCACATGCACCTTGTGCATTCCAATCAAAGGAATACTTGGCGATAAAGAAGAATTACTTGTCTAGTAAGCAAACGAAGACGATTCCTTAGCAGCAAGCAAACAACACGAGTTTCATGCTTTCAAATATCAGTTTGAAATATATTATGATGAGCCAAATGTATTGCATCATAGTAAGCAATTTACCGAATGCTTAACTGTTTCATGCTTTCTAATGTCAGTTTGTAATATATTATGATAAGCCAAATGTATTGTATTATAGTAAGCAATTTACTGAATGGTTATTTCTAAGTTCAACAGAAGATAATAACTTATTTCCTGGTAAAGTGGTTATCACAGAAATCCTGTCTAAAGGAGCAAGGAAAAATCTTTCTTGGTACCAATTCTGTTAATAGATTGAATACAAATGTAATCCTCTTTTGCTGCCTAGAGAAGCCAACAGTTCGACTCTAAACCACACTCAAAGAAAAATCTTCTTGTTTTTATGTGAGTTCTTTATAATTTCTGATGAGCAATATCACTAGAAAACAATATCACAACAAACTACAATAAGGTTGATGCTTAAGCGCTTATGTAATAAATATTATTATATGATAAAAAGTTCTCTTACATCAAAAGAAATATTTGACATCTGATATAAGTGTCCTTAATCACAAATAATTGAATTATCATATAATTGAATTATCATCTCATAATGCTAATCTTAAATGTTCAATCAATTGTGAGGTGATTTATATGATGGGATAGTGGAACAACCAAATTTTAGAAAGCCTAAATATTCACCAAAAATTCTACACATGAAGACACTTACAGCCAAAATAATAATACCAGCCAGGAGATATTCAAAAACAGCTTACAAGAAACAACCAATTTGTAACAGACATCTAAATGAAGATTAACGCCTTACCTTTCCATGGTTCTCCCCGTAAAAATAACCGGGAAGTACTTTGAGTACTTGCCAACGCCAAACTTTTTGCCTAGAAGCTGTATTTTCTTTGAGTCCAACAGAATTAGAGCTTTCCATAGTTCACAGTAATCCGATCTAAACCTCTCATCCAATTCTCTGTATATCCCATGATCTAAGAGCACTGCATTTTTTTTCCTCGAAAGTACGTGCCAAATGATAGAATCTGTACATGCTACTTAATCTAAAATGGAGACAAAGATCACAGCCGTACCAATTGAGAAACCAGTACGACCTTCTCGAGAAACCAGTATATTTCCAGGATGGGGATCTCCATGCACAAAACCATGAACAAATATCATCTGAGCAAAGATATCCATTAAAGATTTTGCAACCTGTAAGATCAAGTGATCAACAACATAAAATTTTGAATACCAGTAAGTTTGTATATAAAAATAATCCTATCAACTAGCAGGCTGTAATTTGCAGGCAGCCACAAAACCAGAACAATATGAGTTAGTAATGATGGACTGGAAACTAATGCATCATAACATTTAAAAGAAGATATGTAAAAGTCCATTGGTTGACTTTTATGTCCTCAAGTAGTAGAACAATATGAGTTAGTAATGATGGACTGGAAACTAATGCATCATAACATTTAAAAGAAGATATGTAAAAGTCCATTGGTTGACTTTTATGTCCTCAAGTAGTTTGAAGTATATTTTTTATCCAGGACTAAAACACAGATTCACACATAAATCTAAAATGTTGATAAGAAAGAGAGCCAATTGTCCATCTTCCCATGTATACATGTTAATCTTAAAAAAAGTCACATACCTCTCGTGGATTTATATTTGAATCCCTCATGAACTCAACATCATCAACCTACACCAATTTAGTCAACATTAAACTAACAGGAATGCAGCAGATAATTGCATAAAAGATATAGCCCCAAGCACCCTTATATAGCAATGATTAGTAGAGTACACTGTTTCTTTTTTCTTCTCAGTGTGTATGCTGGAACAATTAACTTTACTCCACATCAAAGTTAGGAAACAGTGACTTGAATCTAAAAGACAAGTTAAGCCATTGGAGGAAAACATACATAATATAGGACTATAGGTAACATGGTTCACATATTATCAACAAAAAGTGAGGATATAAGTACAGTTGCAATATCTTATATATGGCTAGAAGTAAACAAGCCATACCTTGTGTCCACTGCAAAACTGCATTGTTAAAACCTGGCTTGTTGTCAAATCCTGTGAAAAGTCTGTCAAATTCATATCTCATTGGCATAATAAAAAAAATTAAATTTATCCTAATATGCTTACAACTTCACTGAACAAATAAAAAAGGATCAAGTCTATAATTACTAACAATACACAGGTATGTTGTGGGAACTAACAAGCTGCATACCCAAAATACACCAGGAATTCTGACAATTTTATTATTCCTGAAATATCTGGCTGCTCTCTCAGAGTTCTTTGCCTCTTGAATAAAATCTGTGAACAAAAGAACACACAAGTCATTTGACTCCTCTTTTTTTTTGGCTAGTAAGTTGAAGATTATGTTACCTAGCTACCTAGGCAGGTCAAGCCATACCTATTTATTTTAACTATGCATTGAAAATTGCACCATAATAAAGTTTCAATCCTAAAAGAGGTCCCATGTAATAAATATGGTGCCCTCTTGACAAAAACGTATGTTTAATAGCCGCAATGATATTTTGAATTATATGAACTAGCTAACTTGGCCACTTGGAGTTGTACTAAAATAGATGGATAAGTAGGTACACCCTGGTGTACCGCAGGGTGTACCGCTCGGTACACCAGGGTGTACCGCTTGGTACGCCCTGATATACCACCCGGTACACTGGTACCGTACCGTACCGAGCCCGAGTCGAAACGCCGGTATGGTACGATACGGCGAACCTTGCCTTACAGTGAATACAATGATAGCACATATTGTAATCATTCCAAGAACAACACCATATCATGCAAGAAGTTTTTTCAAAGCATGTTATCTTTCAGAGGAGTGTATTTCACAGAGAAAATAACTAGTGCTCTCTCTTAAAAGTGATGTGTAGACGAAAGGCCACAATTGAAGAGTGCGTGTGTAAACACAGTATGGCACGACATACATTCTGCTTGAGCAGGCAACTGGCAAGAGGATGTTCTTGATTGTTAGTTACTGCAGTGTGTTTAAGAGATCAGAATCAAAAAGTTCTGAAGTTTCTGACAAATGGGTTGTAAAGTATGCATTATTCTAGGAATGTGAACGCATAATGGAATATGCAACTGTCAGAAAAGAACCTTCAGAATATAGAACCAAAAAGAATTTACAGTTTAAAGATAATCTGACATCACTAAGAAGTTCCTTCAGAAATTGCATATTATGTGGCATGACAAAATAACAGTTGACTCTAGATAGCAACATGAATGAGATAAGGACCTAAAAGCATATATATACATATATATGTATAAGTCATCAGGCTACAAAGGTAAATAATAATTCTTCTAACTTGGATGACTTGAAAAACAAGCATGTTATAAAAAAATTAATTCACAAGGTGGAAAGTACAGTCACCTCTATGAACATTCTACTACTCACCAAGTTCCAAAGCCATTGCCCGTTCAAATTCTTCAATTATCCTATCAAATCTGTAATCCGGGAAAATCTGTTCATAAAACAAAAGAGGTATACAAAATGCTCCAAAAATTTAATGAATAGAATTCTATGGAGCACACATACTTTGCAGAGTTATGTTCAACATCACACAACAAATTTTCAATTAGCTTTATAGCATCCAGATATTGGGGTGAGGGAATGAAAAATATTAGTAGTTTCCTAATGCCATACTTACAAGATGATTAATTACTTGATGAAATGCTAGGCATCAGAGATGAAATTGGATGGAAAATCCCTTAATGCACCAATTAATCCTAAAAGGCTTGTTTAACTTGGAGATATCATCCTCATAGCTAAATTTTGATATGCATTATTTTGAATAGTCTCAATTTAATGTGCTTGGGACATTTCCTCAGTAGTAATATTAAATTAAATGGAAATATAAAATATAAAAACCTAAACCAAGAGTTAAATTAAATCAGCAATATATTAAGTTGGATAAGTGTGCTTGTAGAATTTTCTTTCCTCAGCAATAAAAGGTTTCCTTAGGTGGGGACAATATCACTTTGTCACCATGTAAATTTAAATTTGTCACCATGTAAACTTACACACTCTGACTACATTTTTTGTCTCTACTTTCCGTGTTCTTCAGAAGGTCAGAAAAATACTAATTTGGTCAACTTACACACTCCCTATCTTTATCATCTTCTGCTTGAACACAATTTTTTTATACGACCCATATACTAACTCTAGGTTCTATTAGAATATTCTTTGCCATGCAGTCAGGCATGTAATTTACAGCACACTACATTAATACATTATTCTAGAGGGAACCTCCATTACCCCAACACAGCATATCAGTCCAACCATGCCAACATCTGGGAAAGACAGGTGAATATACAAAAACTGTTCATGTAGGTCTGTTTCAATACAAATTAATAGGTATCAAAACAGAAAAATGTGGACAGGCACAAAAGCTATTATTATTTCTCCTAATCTTTGGCAGATTATCTGGACAATTGTTATATAGGGAAAAGGAATTCTTTCTAGGAACCCTAAGCTATTACATATTAAAGCTGATACAGAAAATGGAACCAAAACACAACAGAAAGAATAATATATAGGAAATGCAAATAAAGAGACTGGGAGGACAAAGCATCTAAACATGCAACAATGGAAAGAGAAGGAACCATTTTTAGGCTATCAAATTGAGTGTGTTGCTGGACAAAACATTTAAAAGTTTTCATACCCGAGAGACTGACTTTGACAGGATAGCCATAGTTGTAATATCTATCTTCATCTTCTGCTCTAAGCCAGGGTACTGTACCTAGATGCAAAATATCACCATTTATTTACTTAGCAACCAACAGAGCAAGACTCCTATAGCGCAAGTAATAGTTTTTCTTTGGTAGAGATCTACAACAAGGATCCGAAGGAACAGATTAAGTAAATGATAAAACACCAACTTATTAACAAATTGCTGGATGCAATTTGGCAATAAGTACCACAACTGATTCTTTTTTCCTGGGAATGTTCAATGCAAGACAAAAAGCAGCACTGGTCAGCTACCAAAAAGGTAGAAACCAAATAACATAATAACTCTTCATGGAGACATCTGATTGCTCTTCAAAAACAGTCTTTTAGGATAAATCAGAAAAAAAACATTTATCTGTATTATATATGTATAAATTACAGGAAGAGAAATCCACCAGATGTCAGGTATTAGCATGCTATCATGAATTTACAAGATCTGGTTTACATGATGTTGGAAACGCTAGAAATATCCATCAAATAAGTTTTTTTTTATGCCCCCATATACTTGCATTATCACCTTATTTCTGCTGCATTTAACGGAATATTCATAGTCACACAAATGAAAGCACTCTGGCTATAAAGACTCCATGAACCTAGCAAGAGTAAACTGCTCGATAGAAGATGATAATGAATGGAACAGAAAATAGTAGTCTGATTTTACTTTGTGAGATATTATGTCACTGAATTGCGGCAGTAAAATGACTTGCATTACATGAGATACTATACAAAGATGAAAAATGCCAGACCATCAACATAGATTGAGACATTACCTAGTAATTTGACCAAAATTTCTCTCTTACTCCTAAATTTTGTCAGGGATGGGAAGTAAAAGAAAAGGTATACGAATTAAAGAAAATATGAAACTTCAAAAAAAAATGAAGTCAGGATTCTTACAAGCGACATATCTATAAGCCATTTAAATCAGAAAAGAAGAAGATAGATGGAGAAACTTTGATCAGGTTTCAATCAAGAAGCTATAGCAGATAATGAAATTTTAATTAGCAAGTCATTTAAATATTGGATGAATATTTTTCATATAAGTACCCAGTTGGGAAGTCTCATAAAGGTAGAAACTTTACATCTTTAATGGAGAGAGGCTGCATTGCCTAGGTTTGTGTGGAGACTCATATTTAAAACCTCTGGGACAAGATGTGTAAGTGGATACCAAGAACAGTTTCTGTCAAACACTTGCTTACGAAATATTCCATCTGTGTTTTTCATATGACTATGTAGGTCATAAAACCAGTGATTGCCCCAATAGACTCAAGCGGCAAGAGGTGAAAGAAATTACTGGTCCTAGTTAGTTGTAAAGGGAAGAAGGCCCCTATTGTTTCCCCCTTGAAGACCCCATCAAATTCCATCAATTTTGTTGGTCTTGACTGAGAAATAGACATTTGGACCTTGGATTAGATTTAGAGGTCGGTGCTAATGGGTATAATACACTGGCAATGTGACCTTCGGCTTCAAGTAGAGAATCTCTGAGGAAGATCAACCATTGGATGAACATGGCACAACTCGCTCATTAAGATAACATCATAGGGTCTCAGGCTTAGCCACTAGAGACTTGGCTGGGGATGGCTCCAATTCAACCGCTTGTTTTTCATGATCTTTCATCCCTTAAAAGGATGCAAAAAGACCATGTGAAGATACAGATGCTTATCAATCCTCTAGTAAATATTGACATTTATTTTCTCAATAATGAGAAAGATTTGAGCTTCAATATTTCAAATGCATTTGTTAATAAAAAATAGATATAAAGCTTGAAATAACAGATATGTATATCTAAGAAAAAGGAACTTAAACCCAACAAAAAGCCTGATCTTCTTATGCACCACATATTAACAGATAAAACAGAGGTTCATTAGCCATAATGTAATCACATGGAAATTCCAATAGAAAAATCTAATAAGAGGATCATCTCAACAATAATCAAGTAATACCTACCTTGACTGCAACTTCTTGATTATTCTTCAACAGCCCATGGTGTACTTGAGCAATTGATGCAGCAGCAATAGGTTGTTCATCAAATGCCAAAAATCTGACAGCCATACAAGTTAAAATATATATATATATATACATTATCATATTTTCATGTAATATTATAACAAAGATTGTTCATGCAAATGACTCTGGCCAACACCTATAATCACAGTAGATTGCTGAGTTCCACATTGTCCCCCCTTTTCTTTTTTCTAACTAGGAAGATGATGTAGCAAAGAACCAGTAGTAAAATATTTTAGCAGTGGACAAGCAAACTAAGAACCAGCAAAACAGAAAACATTAATTAACTCAAAAATACTAATCTACCAACATATCACCCCTGTCAATTCTTGTCTTTGAAGTGCAATTAGAATGTTACAATTACTCCAATCACAAACCCCTTCCCATTAGCCTTCAGAGTAACCACAATATATTCGGCCACAGATCAGCTTCCCATTAGTTAAAAGAAAGCAAATAGGAGCTAACACAATCTTTTTCAGCCTTCCAAAGACTGGTGCAACCTTACAGCACACTGATTCAACAGAATTCATTATAAAGGAGCCCACTCCAACTAGGTATACATGTTCAGTCTAGTTTGGAACAGCTGTAACTCGTCAGAAGAAGAATCATGTATGGATTGGGATAAGGAAAGAAAAAATATATCCCGCTTTAGAAGAGAACGAACCACTCAATTCTAGTAACAAAAGTAGTAAGCAATCCTTTCTTGAGACTCGTATAGTCAAGTGGGGAAAGAAGAAGGCTGAAAAGCCAATTCAGTCAATCCTAGTGATAGTAGGCCGAGAAAATTTTTCAGTGATTTTCAATTTGATTTAAATCATTATTTATAGACAACATCCATAAAGTCCAATCTTCAAGTTATTTGATGCCAAGAAGTCCAACTTTCCATTCTAACACGGTTATACTACAGGTTAACCAATTTGTTAGCTATTAGGAATTTTATTTGGAGCATCCTGGGTTCCTCTTCAATACTTAGTTTTCTCTCACACCATTCCAGCCCACAGGCCCAGGAGGCCATGCTTCTTTTCTTTAATACTTCATTATTGCTTGATTAAAATTGTAGAGCAACTAATTAACACTCCCCTCTCCTTTTTACCTTGAATTGGAACAGAACCCGGTAGAAGGGTCACATCCTACCATAGAACTATAAAGTGGAGGCTTAAAATGGTATTTAAGAAACCAGTTTTTAATACCAAGACTGGTGATTGTACCAGAATTTTATTAAACTAGTACATACCAACCAATACAGTATGCACCAATAAACAATATTAAATTACATTTAACATGTCATATTACCATATTGGTCTGGTACACAAGTGTTCCCAATATGACATTTGGTCAGTACAATACAATCAATATATTGCAGTCTTTGAAATCATGTTCTAGTCTATAATTGTACAAAGTACAAAATGGAGTACCACTGTAGTTCTACTTAAATAGATGAATAACAAATCATTTTCAATGAATAAAGCAAAGATGCAACCATGATCTTTAAATTCTTATCAGTTTATGATACAATAATAACCATTTCTTTTGTTAGTGTTGTTTATAGTGACTCATGAAAACATGCAGAAATGTCAGGCCTCCACCATAAACCAAAAAAAGAAAGTATAGATATTTCAACATGGTTTGTCATCATCAGGTCTGTTCCCTCTACTAAAATATGAGAGAGGGCCTCAACAAAACACCAATGTTGGCTACAGCAATACCCATGGGCATCCATACTCAAATATGAGAGAGGGCCTCTACAAAAGCCACCAATGTTGACTATAGCCTACAGCACTACCAATGGGCATCCATTCCGAAACAGATACATCAAATTAATAGACTATATATTGTAGCACTGCATAAAAGATCAATTCAACTCTCAAAGATCCTAAAAGTCTATTAAGAGTAGGCTTGACACAAATAACAAAAGTATCTCTATACTCATTTCCTTCATAAGGTGGAGAAAGGGCACTTTATTTAACGGTTAAAAAGTGCCCCTATCTCGACATTTGCCAAAAATAAATCTGAAAAAAATTGGCAAAGTTGCTCCAAGGATGAGGTTACATTACATTTCTGATAAATCCTTGCCCAAGTTGCTGGCTATCACATCTTCAATATCTTTGAAGTGACATGGAATTGCCTGAGGCATCACATTTATGAGAATAACACAATAAAACAACTCATCTGATTTATAATCAGACACACATGAAAAGATATTGCATTTATCATACCTGATCTTGCAAAGATGAAAGGATCGAAGTATATTCTTTTGGAACTTGTCTCAAAGAGGAAACAAATTGGCCAGCTTTCACATAGAACCCTTTATTAGCTTCACATAGCTTTAGTAACCTTTTAGCTGACCGAAGATGAACCTACCACCAAGATAAACTAGAATTCAACAATAAGCAAATTTTATTCAATAATGGCAGGTATTATTAACAACTGGGATATCTCATGCACCAAATTTAGATTAATTGGTTTATATAACTAATGTGCATGAACATAATAAGAGATAATATGATAATTCAAATAAATTCAAAGTGTATATAAAGGTTGCATCAAAAAGCAATTGATCAGGGGAGACCATTGCATAAATTAATCAAATTTCACATATTTCTTTTATGCCAATAGTTCAGCACATGAATTCTTCTATAGGATCTTAATGCATGCATATAATCTCCTTCTTAAGGTTGTGGCCATCAGAACCATTGTAGGCTAATGTTTCTTCTTTTTTTTGTAAAGGGTAAGTGGCAAAGACAGGATTCGAGTCCAGTACCTTGCATCAAACTGTCAAAGTCTTTATCAGCTAAATTAGCTGACACCTTTAAATATATCAGATGAGGTTTCAAATCCTTAACCTTTGGTCAGTAAGTTGTAGGCCAATGTTGCTAATTGGCATATTAGCTTAATTGGTTAGAGCATCATGCTAATTGTAAGGAAATGTTGCTATAACATCGCCTAACAGAGTCCAAAGGATGTATTCATGTGCAATGAAGATATACCGTAGGATTTCAAATAAAAGAAAAAAATCTCTCACTAATTTAGCATTTGTAGCCATCACAACCATTGTATTTCGATTTTTGTAGTAGCATGAATTGACACTTAGTCCAAAGGATGTATTCATGTGTATGTAAGATAAACAAATGGATTTCAAACAAATGTTTGTGCCTCGGACAGAATTAAAGAATGGCAAAGAGCAGACTTATACATACATAATGGTCTCCAACATGGTTCTGAATACCTGTTTTGAGACCAATTTAGTACCAGTCTAGGTGATTTACCAGGTCTGGTATCAGACCCTAGTAATACCAGTAAATACCGGTTGGTATGTAATCGGTTTTGAGATACCAACGTTTCAAAGCTCCAAGCCAATGGCGATTAGGGAGGAAGAAGAAGAAGATTGGATTTAAGAATCTGGGACTTTGTTTCAGATTTAGCCTTCATTTCAGGTTACCTTACCCAACAGAGGAAAGGTTACTTGGGTAAGGCTGGGTCTACATATCCCATAAGTGGCCAAAATGTCACTTTGAACCAGTAATGGACAAGGTAAAAGAAAATAAAACCACAGATTGGTAATCTGTAATTGATCTGTCGTTCCTTGTCATACTTATAGCACACCAGACTTCATACTTCCAAAAGAACTTGTCTTTGTATGGTCAGTTTGGCGCAACCCAACGTCTAAGTGCTTCTGAATGCCAAAGCCTTGAGACATGATATCCCTTCCTTGAAACAGAAAGAAGATGGATTTTATCTAATAGAATAGATATACATCAGTTTCAACTAAACTGACACAGCCATCATGTGTAATGTCTATATCATATGACAATTCGATCTAAGCCAGCAGCTAAAACTAGCATCAAAATTTGTAGCAGACACCAAAGGGGGACAAGAGAAGGGAACAAGAGGGCGACCTCCGACACCTTCATCCGGTAATCGCTCGAACCGGGAGGCAAACTACGCAAAGAATACTTGTAATCCACCACGACGAAGGCGATCTGTAGAGGAGAAGAAGAATGATCAGAACCCGTAGCCAGAACGACAAAAAGGATACGGAGGCTGCACACACCGTGTAGATCGCACGAGAGGACCGGATGACACCGTCTACGGCAGAGCTAATCTTCTCACGGGAAGAGGAGAAAGAGGAGTCGGCGGCCACAGCGGGACGAGGGCTCGCGTTCCAGGCGAGCCCCGCGACGGCGATCCCTACAGCGAGGCGTACAGGGGAGGATGTCCCCTTCACTACGAGCTTGAGCGGCCACCGGCGGCCTCCTCCCATGGCGGGGATTTCCTAGGGTTTGAATCGGGCAGGCGGAGGAGGGGAGGACGGAGAACGGAGAAAAGCGAAGCCGGCAAAGTAGCCGACACTCCACGATACGATATAATTACAAACCGGCTTTCGTTCCGACATCGCGTGTCGGCCGATCCTTCACTATACGATATATGAAAAAGGCTATTGAGTTGCTTCGTGTTTTTGGAACGTGTCAAATTACCGTAAGTTTCGATTGTTGCGAATAAGATCCTAACTTGTGAATGAATACTTTGCCGACACATTGCGAGGTCTTTAAATAGTTGCATATCTATGCTTTCAAGATTAGTTATCTCGGTATGTATCCTTCTAAATTAGGCTTTTGATATTTTCCCTAGATTTGTCAACCGGATTGAATAGTTTATTTCATCTCATGGTTTTGTATGTCTTGTTTATAGATATCCATTTAGGTTCTTTTAATAGTGGGAGTGGTGTTAAAAAAACAAAAAAGTGGGAGAGGTGTCATACAAAGGTGACTCATCCGTTGCACAGGAAAAATATATATATATCAAGATACTTTGCTTAACGTATGTTGATGATATTTTATTTTACTTTTGAATTAATTATCAATCTTATAACATTACTAGTAGAAGGGGTTAATTACGTATTGTTCCCAATTCTTACACTTTAAAAAATTCATTTAGGTCCATTTATCATAACGACATCAGTTTTATCAACGAAAATATAAAAATAAAAGATAAAAAAGATAATTTTAATATTTGATAGCGGATGACGACGGTGGTGGTAGACAACGGCGCCCCTGGCATCAACGTCGATGCAAATGCCTGGTCACCTCCGACGATGATAAGATCCACTCTCACCGTAATGCCACCTGCCTCCATGAGGAGCGCGTTGTCGACCTCATCGACATTTGCCCCACGTTGCTCTACATTTGTATTAACACTGATGCAATTGCCAAGTGACAATTGCATCGGCGTCGACACAAATAATGGTAACCACCTCACTATTGACCCATTGGGTAAATCCTAGCCTCAACCACTCTCCCTTTGCATTTACATCAATACTGATGAAGATGTCGAGTGCTTCATTCGTTGCAAATACAAAACGATGCAGGGCGAGTGGCGATAAGGTCAACAGTGTGCTTCCTTATAGAGGTGGGTGGCATTACTGACCTGTTAGATGGATCCCAGTCTCGACTCGAAGCTGGGGTCGCTAGAGCTCTTATCGATCCCCTCGTTATCATATAAATTCTGATACTATCTCTCACCGAGTGACCCTTTTACCGCTCTACATCTACGTCGACATTGGTGTCGAGCAGCACCGCTCTGTATCTGCATCGACGCAGACGTAGATGCAAAGGGGGAGAGGTCGAGGTTGGGATCCACCCAAAGGGTCAACGGCGAGGCGACCACCACCATCTGCATCGATGTTTACACAATTGTCGCTCGGCAATTGCTTCAACGTCGATGCAGAGCAGCACGGGCTGGGCGATGATGAGATCAATGGTGCGCCCCTCGTAGAGGCGGGTGGTGTCGTAGTGAGAGCAAACCTTATCATCATCGGAGGCAACCAGACAATTGCGTCGATGTTGACGTTGATATCAGTAGTGTATCCGTCCACCACTACCAATGTTGTCCGTCATCAAACATTAAAATTATTTTTTTACTCTTTATTTTCATATTTTTATCGATAAAATTAAATAAATAAACATAGATATTTCACTTTTGTAACTATATAAATATCAATGCAACTTTTAAAACATAGAGATCCAAAAACTAAATGCGAATAACTTATAATTATGCCGATGCATACACATTTATCTTTTTTTTTTCCAATCAAAGAAGATCAATTCGCTTTCAGATATTTGGATCCATTAATTATAGTAGATGAATGTTGGCTGCCAAGCTTGATTCTATCCTCGAGAACATTTAAAATAATCTTGGCACTTGGCAAGGGATTTTGTCGTCTCAAGCTAAATGGATAACCTTAATGGATTCGTTGATTGATGCGTCCTTTTACATTCTGTTCTTAATAACGTTAATCAACTAATTCATAATTTCCTTTGGATAAAAGATGACAATCACAAAGGTTAATATTAGATTATTCTCCTATGAGATCACCGCTGTAGACAGATGAAAGCTGCAACTAATTTTTCTCTTCACAGAACCTGTTCAAAGAAACAGAAAACCTCACAATACCTATGGTCCAAATGGATCAGCGCCTACTGTTTGATCTACCTTGCAATTATTTAAACCAACTTCGAATACAATATTTATGCTGATCCGCAAGCTAAACGTGTAAATCAACAAGAACTTTAACACGAAAAGAAGAAATAACAAATAAAAGAACACAGCAATTTAGAATGAAAAGGCAACTGTTAATGCAGAAAAAAAAAAAAAATAAAGGCCCTAAAAAATTCCCTTAAGCATCAAATCTTTATTGTTAGGATTTTTACAGTGCATTGTTGTGACCAAGAGATGAATAAGACAGGACTTAGTGCATTGTTGTGACCAAGGGATGAATAAGACAGGACTCAGCTTTCTCAGCTCATGCATGCACAAGCGGAAAACAAATGAGCTAAGGGAACAAAATGTGAATAATTCCCGCTGTTAGGTATGATATTATCATTCATATGTTCAACTTTATAGTTGTTCGGTCTCGGAAGGTCGTAGCTTATTCTCGACAGCAAGAGCAGCAGCTCGATACCATGCTGCTGCAGCCATTGCTCCAGGGTCAGGAACCGACGACAGTAGGTCGGCAGCAATGTAAGTAGATCGGCCAGCCTGCATGTTTGGACATCTCGTCATGTAGGTCAGCAGCACACATATGAATGAATACATAAAGAAGCATACACAAGTTACAAGAAGCTCATGGCCTACATGTGGAAGCTAAATCAAGGCAGGTAAAGTTTCAACTACAGTGAACTGCTTTATTAAGTTGCTTTCAACACTAATGCAAGCATATGTTCAGTGTCAGAGAAGTACTAGCTTTTAGCTTTTGAATCAAAACTGAAATGCATGAAAGGTCAGATCATAATATTTTTTTTACATAAAGCATCAAAAAAATGCCCGCACATACAACATTAGTTGGTCATTACACCTAAATTGTAGATGCCTTATAGTTTATGACATTCACAACTGCTGGTTTACAGACCATATAAGCTCTTGAATGGTATGATGGAAAAGGTATCACCTGAGCATGCATATTTTTGGTAGATTCTGCCCCAGTTAGTGCTGCTTCAGAGGACAGTAGAAAAGCTTTTAAAGCATCATCGCCAGTATCCAAAATCTGCTCAGTGCAAATAATTAAGATGAACTAACGTATATACATACAGGAACATAGATCTCAAAAGTATGCCTTTGCTTGCCTCTCTTAGAACTTTAGATGCTGGAATAAGCGCATCCAACATAGTCCGATACCCAGCAAGTGCACCACCATATTTACTGACAGCTGCAACAGAAGCTTCTAGAGCAGTTGCCCCTGGATCAATGTATTTCGCATGACCATTATTATCTGAGAAAAATGCTCCGTGATCCACAATAAACGACAAGATAAAATTTCTTACATTGGCTTGGTGTGATAACTTGGTTGCCTTTCAAGCTTGCATATGCAGCCTTGCAGAATATATCATACCTGTTTAGCATACAGCAAATACATTTTTCAAAAACTGATGCACACACTAGCAGATGGAACAAAAAACAGGAGATGTAAAACAAAACATCGATAAGGCTATAGAAAGAATAATCAGAGTGATGATACAGTACAAGATCCCACTAGTTCCACCCATAACCCTTCTCAATGAGGCTCCGATCTCATTTACTGTTTCTGCAGCATCATTTAGAGGATAACTGTGAAGCAGAAAAACTATAATTAGGAAGCAAATGAGGGAATCCAGAAAGGACGACTGGAACAAGTCACTCTTTTAGGACATTTGCATCATATGAACTATGAAGATGCCCGTCGAGAATCAATCATCACAAATAATTCCAAAAACTTTTGCAGCTCAGGTTAACACAACATGCAAATGTAAGTTTCCGATAACAATTAACCAAACATTACCTCACCTGCTTATTCACAGTGTGCCTACAAAACTCAAACAGTTTGAAAAGTCGGGAGTCCATGCCTTAGACAAAAGGCTAAACCGCTGGACCCAATGTCAAGTAAAAGGACAGCCTGTTGTATGAGATTCCTGCCAATGTGGGATTTGGTAGGACCAATGTACCCAGTTTTGAACTTACAGCAAAGAGGTTTTTACTTGACATGACCAGGTCACTATTGTGGTTTGGACATCCAGAAGCTAAATATAGGGGCTTAATAATTGGTAAGCCACGATATTTAAAAGCCAAACATTTAGCAGATCAGTTACAGTGTATAATAAACTTGTATTTTTTTTACTAATTGGTTTAATCAATTAAATGATTACCCAGCAGATCAAGTGTAAAGATCTTGGACTTGATTTATTCCTCCAAAAATGATACATAGAACCCTGAGATTGACCTATAATTGATGATATAGCATAAGTAATTCAAGCATAAGTTGATCAATAATCATAAGTAATTCGAGCAAAATGTTGACAAACAAGAGTATATACAGCAAGTGACACCACATGGTCATTTGCAGTTAGTATATACAGCAAGTGACACCACATAGTCATTTGCAGTTAATGTGATCAGCCTTTGGTGCTTGCCAGATCTCCCTAAAAGATTCATAGATGTCGTATAGAAAGGTCGACAACTAGCATGAAATGAATAACTAACTAAAAAGTAAAAAGTGCCCATACCATCTCTTCATGTCTTCAAGAACAGCTGTTGCACCTCTATGCATCTGAACAGAGCCAGCAAGTAGAAATCTTAAAACAATGAATTGCATTTTCATTAATATGAAAATCAGGAATATGGTGTAAGTGAACTCACAGTGCTTCCACAGTCACCATCACCGACTTTACTGTCCCACTCGTTTAATTTTTCCCTTAGATTAATAATCTCATTTGCAGCTGCCTCAATAGCAACCTCCATCATGCAGCCTTGCTCATTTAATTCTTGTGGTTCATTAAATGTCCGCTAGAAAAAAGTGTAGTTGACCAAGGAATAAATATCAGCAGGAA